TTTTTTTTTTTTTTTTGATCCTGTTGGTAAAAGCTCTCAATTGGTTGGTTCAGAAATTGGAAGTCATTGGCCTTATAGAAGGAATTGCAGTGAGCCCAGGTGGTCCTAAGGTGTCACAGACTCAGCTTCAGTTCACCAATGACACTATTTTTTTTGATATGTGAGATATCTAATGTGTCTTGGTTTGTTTTGAAGTGATCTTGGGTTTGAGAATTAACTTGACAAAAAGTAAGGTCTTTTTTTGGGAAACTGGTAATGTAAAGTCTATGGAGTAGGAAAGGTTGAGAACATTTTTGAAGTGGCAACGGCATTGTGCTAATTACAAATTGAAGATGATTTGAGACCCAGTGATTGGGTATTTAATAGGTAAGTTGGCCAGATGGAAGAAAAGCCTTCTCTTTGAAGGAGGTAAGCTTACTCTTAAAAGTGCCATGGCCAACCTTCTGGTTCATGCTGTTATTCTCTGTGCTTGCTTCAGTGGCTGAAATTCTGGAAAATAAAGAAAGGTTTTTTTTGTTGGGTGATCCTAATGATGTTTGATGAAAAAGAAATATCATCTAATGGAATGGACAGGGATTTCTTATCCAAAAGAACAGGACTTATTGGGTGCAATTGGAAGCCTTCTTCAGGTCCTGATGGTCCTAGTGTGGAGGGGCGTCCTAAGGCATTTAGTTAACTTAGAGAAACTCACCTCCTTTCGTATTGGTGAAGTAGGAAGATGCTTTTCGGAAGAGACAATGTCAATCATTCACTAGCGTGTTTGAATTGGTTTGTGATAAGTAGGAAACCATTTTTGAGTCATATGAAGTGATCGCTAATGATTGATTTGGGCACCCCATCTCAGATGGAATGTCATTGACTGGGAAGGGAGATACTTTGATCTCGTTGCTAACTGCTAAGTTGAATTCAACAAATAAGGATTACTATAGAGGATGAAGACAAAAGGATTTGGAGTCTGAGCCATTTTCTTGGTAATTGGTAATGGATTTATCAAAAGCAAAAGAAGAGAGCTATACAATGAAGGCTTCCCAAACAGAGGTGTGAGGTGCAGCCTCAGTTACAAAGATTGAATTACAATTTAGCCCACCATAACTGATTTCTATGCACCCCTTGCTTAACTAACAAGTTTGCCCATTTGCCAATCTCCTTTCTCATTGAACTCTAACAGTCATGTTTGTAGTCAGCCATTTAAACCGCTTCACTGCTTCCCTATAAGTCCAAATTACTGAGTCCGTTCCTTCAGTCAGTCAACTATCAGTTTAGAGTCCCCTTCAATTAGTAGCTTGTCATAATTCAGCTCTCTAGCAATCTGTTCTCCCAGCAAAACTGCTTGAAACTCAGCATGAACCGAATCCCCCATCTTGCCAGGCTTGAGAACAAAGCAAGAACATGGCCTTTGCATTCCTGAACACTCCCCCAATTCCCGAAGGCCTTGGATTGCCTAGGCTGCTGCCGTCGAAATTTAGTTTTATGAAACCTTCTTCAGGAGGCATCCAAATTACAGTAGGTCTTTCCTTAACATCTGAACTTTACTGGAGTATTCTTGGTTAAATTCTTTATGTGACTCTTATAGGAGAAATAAATGTCTTTTCTTTGTAGTGGATTTGGTGATCTATTCTTACTAAGATCTGCTTTTTCATGTGGACTGCATACTCAATACAACACTGACCGTTTATAATCTTATTAACAAGGGGAAATACTATACCAAATGTTTGTGTTCTATGTGCCTTTGCCTTGGTGTCAATTCAGCACCTCCTTATTCACTGTAGAATTTCATCTTCAGTGTCATGGCATTTTGTCAAGCTATTTGGCCAAGAATGGATTTCCCCTTTCACTAAAACCCCTAGCAGATGAGGAAACCACTCAATACACCAGGTTACAAGGGAACTTGTGGAAAGAAATAACAAAATTTTTGAAGGCATAAGAAGAAAATTTAGTGATTGGAATCATTTAAAGAACCATAGCTTCATTGGCATTGATTTAGCAGAATTCAGAAGTCTTAGGTTTTCTGACTTCTGTAATGGGTGTAGTTCCATGGTGTTTGGTACATAGACGGGGCTGTTATTTCTGTAGTTCATGTGAGGGAAGCTTGGTCCTCACTCTCTATCATGGGCTTGGCCCTTCTTTGCTTTGTTGGCAATAAAATTTCTTTCGATTATCCAAAAACAGAATTTTTTTCCAATTTTTATCACTTTATTGAACTGCTTGAACAATGGACAAGAGCACTGATCCAAAAACGAAACAAGACCACAGGAAGTACTATGTAGGCTTACTAATAGCAATCTTAGTAATGAAATTTTACCCCTCCCCTTGCTTCTTCTGTACCTTTCTATTAACTCTTTAGTAAAAGTTGCTGTTATTGATCAGAAATATAGTAATCTTAGTAACCATACTTGGGCACAGTCTAGTTGTGAAAGAGTTGGCTTCTCTACTGTTCTCCATACAGATTACTGGTTTGCTCATTTGTTGACATGATGTAGTTTAGAGTTTAAACAGGTGTATGCAATGTTAACTCTACTTTTTCTAAATTCAAATCAGTAAAAGAATGCATGTTAATGTGAAACATACAAGTATAAGACACCATTTGAGTTCTAGTTTGTACAATACATTTTGCATTTTTCCTCTAGTTTGTTTTCCACTTGTTTGTGTGAGAGGAATATTAAAAAGAAAATTAGTGAAATTGGATTATACTTCTTTTCAGCTGTTTTGGAAGTTAGATGATGTTATAGAAGTTAGAATACCACTTTTAAACTCGCTGCTAACACATTGCAGATTATCATTCTGTTCAGTTTCACATTCCTTCTAAGGTGGTGTTTGATAACAGCTGAAATAGGTGCCAAAAGTGGAATGCAGAAAAGTTTACAGACTTAGAATTGGCTTAAGCCCTGGGGCATTATTGGTATATGATAAAATTTTCGAGGTAAAATAATCACCCCAATGCCTGTGCTTCATTATTCAGCAATTAAGTAGGTCTCCTATTTCAGCAGTTACCAAACACCACCTAAGTTTTAGATGAATTCTCCAAACACCACTTCCATGGTATTGTTTTATAATTGTATTGGTTGTAGAAAGTATTCTCCCTTATTTCAGTTACTTATTTCACATCATATGATCTCTTAGGTGCAAGGTATGCACTCTGATGTTGCTACACTGAGCAAGGCTAGCATATGGCGTGAGGCTTCACGTATTGTTTACGAAGAAGGTTTTAGAGCATTCTGGAAAGGAAACCTGGTTACTATTGCTCATCGTCTGCCATATTCTTCTGTCAGCTTCTACGCTTATGAACGCTACAAGAATGTCAGTACACACTTTCTTTGTTTATGCCTGTATACAGCTGAAATGGATTGATATTCTTATTCTTCTATAATTCTTGCAGTTACTACAGTCAATTCCAGGACTAGAGAGTCATAGAGAAAACATCACTGCAGACCTTTGCGTGCGTCTAGTAGGTGGTGGTTTAGCAGGAATAACAGCTGCATCAATCACATATCCATTGGATCTTGTGAGAACACGACTTGCAGCTCAGGTAATATAGGCTTACAATGATAAAGATGCTATTTATGATATTCGTATTAGGCCATAAGCAGCTTCCAATATTTATCTGCTTTTGATGTTTTTTGTAAGAATTTTCTCTATGTTGAGTTCAGGATGTTGTATTTATATGTATAGATGAATAAACTCTTAACCCAACTGTAAATATGGTAATAAAGCACAGATTGACAAAAGCCTTAACATGCCTCTTTGGGTCAGCTGCAGAAAGTCTGTTCCATAAGCACATAAGTGCACGGGCCATGTCTTTAGACATTGTAAATCTTTAGATATTTGATGCCGCCTCTATCAATGCCCTCTTTGGTCTTGGTTTTGCATCTTTACATCCTTCTCCTTCCAAATCACTTCTCATTGGTACAGTTACTTGCCATTGTTTTTTTTTTTTTTTGATAATTGAAATAAGTTTATTAATGAGCAATAGACAATAGTACAAAGTCCCCGAGTAGAGGCACGAGTTGCAACCTCTCCAGGCTAGTTAAGTACAAATTTCAGATTACTAATAGTTTACAAAGTAGCACAAAAAAGGTCTTCCCTGGAAACCCCCTGTTTGGCTAAAGAATCAGCCATAGAATTAGTAGACCTGCTAACCCATTTTACCTCAACTCTCATATTGCTGGTTAACCACTTTACTTGGCCTTACACAAGGAACACCAATTTGGGGAAAGACAGAGAGGGTCTCTTTTTCTGTAAGTTTTCCAAAGTATTGATTTTCCCATAGTAGACTTCCCAGCAGAATACAACAATTTTTGGGGGAATAGGTCACGCCTAGACTTCTTTTGATCAAAAGAAATAGGGTCCAAGCAAACAGATTCTAGTAAATGAATTAGCTCAACAACACAACTCGACTTACCATCCCTTAACCCTCTACGAAAACCGAAGTCCCAGTTTAAAGACAAGGGGGTTAACGGGCTTGAGGGAAAGTTTGCAATTGGCTCATTTTTGTGATGGGAAAGGGAATAGAGCAAGGGGAAACGATCTTTGAGGGGTTGAGTACCCACCCAAATATCCTCCCAGAATAGAATGACATTACCAGAACCAACATCATACCTGATCAAACTGAGGAAGCGAGGGAGAATACCATGTATAGCCTTCCAAGGTGTCGTGAGGGTAGCTCGACGAGATATCCCGGAATCCCAACCATTTCCAGAGCAGCCATGGATGCTTTCCACCACCTCATTGCCATAATCTCTCTCTCGGGGCCATCTCCATAACCACTTCCCTAAGAGGGTACATTCTTTAGCACTATGTTCTCTATCCCTAGACCCCCTTCTTCCTTTGGTTTGTTAACTATCTCCCATCTAACCAAATGATCATTTTTCACCCCTCTTGGTTCCTGCAAAAAATCCCTCAGTCTCTTCTCTAGTTTCTTAGCCTCCCTTGGAAGAATCCTGAACACTGAAAGGAATTAGGTTGGAAGATTGGAAAGTGTAGCCTTAATTAAAGTCAGCCTACCCCCTATTGAGATGTAATTCTTTTTACAAGCTGCCAAGCATTTATCAAATTTCTCCACAATAGGGGCCCAGAAACTACTTTCTTTAGGATTAGCTCCTAAGGGTAGCCCTAAGTATGTCAAAGGCCAAGAAGAAATGTTGCAACCTAAGCATTCTGCAATGGATTCAATCTCCCTATTCTCCATATTTACTCCTGCCACACAACTTTTATCAAAGTTTACCCTCAAGTTGGAGACACTCTCAAAGGTTCTTATTAGATTCTTAAGGTTCTCCACCTTACTTAACTCATTCCCTTCACAGAAAATAACAATATCGTCAACAAACTGAAGGTGAGTTATTGGAATGCCTCTGTTTCCTATTCTCCATCCCTTTATTTGGCCCTCCTCATCTGCTTTGGAGATCAATCTACTGAAGACATCAGCAACAAGAGTAAAGAGGAAAGGGGAAAGTGGATCACCTTGTCTTAAACCTCTATTGGTTGGAAAGAAGTCCTTAACCACTCCATTCACCAAAACATAATAATGACAAGAATTTAAACATCCTCTTATCCAATTACACCATTTATCCCCAAATCCACATCTTCTTGACACCTCCAGCAGGAAACTCCAATCCACTAAATCATAGGCATTCTCCAAATCCAGTTTGTAGACAAATCCTTTTCTACCCGATCTCCTCATCTCTTCTACACTCTCATTTGCAATAAGGATATGATCCGTAATTTGTCTATCCTATATGAAGGCTCCTTGTGCTTGGCTAATGAGAGAAGGTAGAACTGCTTTGATCCTCCTAGAGAGCACTTTTGCCAGAATCTTATAAATGCTTGTCACGAGGCTGATTGGCCGAAAATCTTTGGGGTGTTTGGCATTAGTCTTTTTAGGAATTAAGGTTAGAAAGGTGGTATTGATTCCAGGACTCACAACATGTTTGTCCTCAAATTCTCTAAAGGCTTCAATTAAATCTTCTTTGACTATGTCCCAACAATCCTGGTAAAAAGCCATTGTAAATCCATCTGGACCCGGTGCCTTAGTCCTATCCATAGAAAAGACAGCTTGTTTAATTTCCTCTTCCTTTATCATTCTTTCTAGCTATCCCGTATCTGTTTGGTTCAAAATTGGCCAATTCTCCTCCCCCACTATTAACCGATTCTCTAAAGGTCTCTAAAAGATTGATTTGAAATGATCCACAATCCTACTAGCAATCTCCTCTTGAGACGTTATCTCCACACCATCAACCTCTAGCTTTAGTATCAAAATTTTCCTTCTTCTCCCATTAGCCATAGCATGAAAAAATTTGGTATTCCCATCCCCTTCCTTGATCCACTTATGTCTAGATTTTTGTCTCYATGAAATCTCCTCCCTCAACAAGATCTCCTCTAACTCCTTTTTCAATTTCCTTATTTTTTCTCTGTCTTGCTCACCCATCATTCCCTGGGATTCTTTTGCATCTAAATCCTCAACCTGAATCAATAATCTAGCTTTTACCTTCTCCACTCTTCCAAATTGATCCCTATTCCATTCTTTTATTTTGCCTATCAACCTTTTTAATTTTTTGTGGAATCTAACCCCATTCCATTTCACTTCTCTCATCTCTTCACTCCACCATTCCTTAACCTTAGGCAAAAAATCTGGATGTGTCATCCACATAATCTCAAATCTAAATGGTTTGGGTCCATTACCAAGATGTTCTTGTCCTACTTCTATAGGGCAATGATAAGAGGTTATCCTAGGTAGGGCCTTAGCCACCAAACCTCTCCAATGGCTCTCCCAACCCTCATTAAATAGGAACCTATCAAGCTTCAAGCAAATTGGGTTTTCTTGGAAGTTGGACCAGGTGTAGGTAGCCTGTAGTAAAGGAAGCTCTCGTAACTCACAAGAATTAATGAAGTCATTGAACTTTCTCATACTAGTTGTGATGGCCTGCCTGTCTGGGATTATTTGACTCAGTCGTGAATCTTATTGCATTAAAGTCGCCCCCCAAACACCAAGGGCCTTCCCATAAACCTTGAATTCCATGAAGCTTCTCCCATAACTCATTCCTCTCTCTGTGATTATTTGGACCATACACATTTGTTAGCACCCAAATGAAGCCATCTTCCACCATCCTGAATTTTAGGGATACAGTAAAGTTTCCTATTAACTCCTCTACTGGTTCTATGAAGTCCTCCCTCCACAATGTTACTATTCCCCCTGAAGCTCCCCACGACGGAGCTGAGCACCATCTTACCCCTCTTATTTTCCAAACCTCTCTAACCCATCTCCTATCCAATTCAGCTAATTTTGTCTCTTGCAGCATCACAACATCAGGTCTTTCTCTCCTAAGTAATTCCTTAATCGATCTCCTCTTTCTGGCACTGCCCAAATCCCTTACCAACTGATTATCTTCATTTACCTTCAAGAATTTAGCCCTCCAGTATCGGGTTCCTTCATTTAGAACCCTTTTTCCTTTCCCCATCTCCTACCCAATTCAGCTAATTTTGTCTCTTGCAGCATCACAACATCCGGTCTTTCTCTCCCAAGTAACTCCTTAATCAATCTCCTCTTTTTGGCATTGCCCAAACCCCTTACCAACTGATTATTTTCATTTACCTTCAAGAATTTAGCCCTCCAGTATTGGGTTCCTTCATTTAGAACCCTTTTTCCTTTCCCCTCTGCCACTGAACTCGATATCCCCTTCAATGTCCATTATTAGTCTCTCTACTTCAGACTTTTTCTTCTTTTTCCTACTGAGCCCTCTAGTTACTTGCCATTATTGCACTTGGCCAAACCATCTTCGTTAACTTTTCCTCATCTTGCAACCTTTTAGGCTACTCCTAGCTTTTCTCGATGTGCAATTTCTTAATTCTATCCTTATATTCATGTTCATCCATCATAATGACCTCATCTTAGTCATTTTCTGAACAACATTATTTCTTTATTTTCCAACACTCCATTCTGCATGACATTGCTGGCTTATATCTTATGACACTTTACCGGTTCCATGGGACGTGTTGTTTTGGAGTGACAGTTTTGTCACTCTAAAAAAACACACTCCTGGCAGTTTGTTCTTGTTCCAGAACACGATATTTCATGGTGACAAAATGCATCCAAACGTGTTGTTTTGGAGTGACAGTTGTGACAAAATGCATCCAAACATATTTCTGATCCGTGAGAACATTCGGAACACGAGAAACGTTCCCATGGAACGATACCAAACAGGGCCTTAGGAATTGTACCAATCTTACTCCCAATTAATGCTATGCTAATTTGGTGAGACTGGGCAATCTGATCCAGTGTTTTAAAAGGTGAGGGAGGTGTATGCCTGGAGGCGCTCCCTAAACACCTTGAGGCGTATGCCAGAGGCGCTGACACCTCTGAGTCGTACACCTTAGGTGCAAGAGGTGTACGCCTCATGTGCTTTTTTCATGAGGCGTGCTAGAGGCGTATGCCTCATGTGCCTCATGCACATCTTATATAAAAAGACAAAAAAAAAAAGAAAAAAGAAAAAAAAGGAAAGGAAAGAAAAAGAAAGGAAGGGAAAGAAAAAGAAAGAGAAGAAGAAAAAGAGAAAATGAAAGAAAAGATAATGGGAAAGAAAGTGGTTTGCCCCCTGCCCCTCCGCTTCGACAAGACCCCCCTTTCAACTATTGCTATGCATCTTTATTCTTCTTAATATAAAAGATTTTTATTAAAAATAAAGAAAAAAATGAGATCCCCCCTTCCTCCTCCTAACCCCCCTCCTCTTAAGGAGGCTTACGCCTCTTGCGTTCTGAACTACGCCTCACGCCTCTGGAACGCCTTGCGTCATGCCTCCACGTTTTAAAACATTGATCTGATCAACCTACCTTCTTTGCCATCCCTGCATCTATCCCTCTTCAGTCTCAGCAATCAAGGCTATATCATATACACCATGCCTCTTCTTGTAAATGACCATTTTATCCATCAGTAATGCATATGGATATGGGTTAAGTGTTGACCTTTTTTTGCACTAACCTAACATGTCATTCATATTCATTAAATGAAACTAATATGTAATTCTATTTTTCCAGACAAATGTAGTTTACTATAGAGGCATGTGGCATACACTTAGTACTATCAGCCGAGACGAAGGTGTTGTTGGCTTGTATAAAGGTCTTGGAGCAACTTTGTTGGTATGCTTCTTTTGTTTCCTTAATCAAGTGGTTCTCTTCTCTTCTTTATTACTCTGACTGTATAGTGAAACTCTATGCAGGGAGTGGGCCCTAGTATAGCCATCAGTTTTTCAGTTTATGAGACCTTGAGATCTTTGTGGCAGTCACAGAGGTGGTTATTTCTTTGTAATCAAATTCAGTTGGTGAAGTGGTCTTATTGTTGAAAGCTTCATATGCCTCATGCATTATCTACTCTAATCTAACTCTTATTATCCAGGCCTCAAGATTCTCCTGTCCTTGTCAGCCTTGCCTGTGGCAGTCTTTCAGGAATTGCATCATCAACAGGTAAGTGATTTAAAACCTAAAACCCATCCATTCTTAAGGAAGTGAGATACCTGAGTTGCTTGCTGCCAATGTTGTTGATATTACTGATCAAGGACATGAAAATAAAAGACAAATATATGATTTCTATTCCTAATCCACAAGATGAAGCCAAATAAAAATCTGGCCAAGGTGCTATTTTGGTTTAAGTTGGTTTGATTAGTAGATTGATCTAGTTGATCTGATAAGATAATGTGATTTTATATCAAAGAAAAAAAAGGTTTGTACTGTAATGGTGCCTAACAATATTCTACCTCCAATTCCCTCTTTGCCATCAGCAGTGACATACTTCCCCTCAAAATGATCTCATGATTGGATTCTTAAATGATCTCATGATTTGACTGTGGTTGTTTTTAGGTGTATGTTCCATATGGTATACTGAGATTGTTCGAGTTGGATTTATGAGTATATGAAGATTGACAGAATAAGGACAATGTCCTTATTACTCCGTTTTATCAAATTATGGTCCTGGCTACACTACAGGATATGGGTCATCCTTTTTTGGATTCTTCTGTTTCTATCACTATTGTTTTTCAGGCCACAAGTTGCCTCATGCTGTTGGCTGTTGCTAATGAGTTGCATCCTCTGGGTTGTCAAAATTTTCTATTTTTCATGTAGAGAAGAAAATTTATCCACTTGCTAATTGGGTAGCACAGTTTTGATTAATGATCATAAAATAACCAATAGTGTTTTTGGGTAATAAATAATTCATAATGTTGAATTTTTGTGTCTATTTCTCTTCTTTGATATTGACTTTAAACTCAAGGTTCAAAGTAGGTCAAGGGGTGTATTGGTACTTTGAACCTTGCACCCATCCTTTTTTTAGTTTTTTTTTTTTCAAAAATAGGTCAGGGGGCAGGTCTTAGGCCTGTGTACCCCCTGAAATAGGTCAAACCCCCAAAGCTTTCTGATTTAGTGTTTTGGTAACTCACCGATATGTGACGTGTTTTTTTTTATCAGTAACGACAAATTTTACTAAGATTCTGAAACTTTAATTACAAGAGAGGGGGGAGGTAAACTTTCTTTACTCCCCCACCAGCACAAAACAAAGGATACAAAATTAGAAATGAACCCAAAAGAGAGAACACCTATTCACCCCTTGCTTGGCTAACCCATCAGCGAGTGACTTGGCAGTTCTCTTTACCCAGCTGTACAACCTCATTTACAAGCATGATGCTAGACTTCTGGATTAAATGAAGCTTAATAGTAACTCAATGCACTTGTTACTATTATCCCTGAATCCTAATATACTGATGTTTGGTGGCGGTTTTAACATTGGACCAAGTCATGGTCAAGTTAGGGGGGAAGGGGAGAAGGGCTGTTTGAAATGGTACAACGGAGCTCTACTGAATCAAAGATGAAAAGCCACAGGTTTATGTGGTTATTCTTTAAGTGTGGTTTCATCAAGAAATTGTTGAACTGTGCAATATAACAATAAATAGAATAATCAGATTTTCAAAAGAATTAATGGTAACTGTGCAATTCAAGGGGTGCAGATAGTGAGCTAAACTTGAAAAATGTGGTGATTGAAGGGGATTCAAAAGTGGTGGTAGAATGGCTAAAGAATCCTGAGTCTATAATTTGGTGCTACAGGAGTGAAATGAAAAAACTTACATGGCTAACCAGGAATATGAATTTGAGGATCCATTGGGTGAGGAGATCAGTAAATGGGATGGCGGATGCTTTGGCTAAAGGGTGAATGATATAAGAGGTAGCAGCTTTTGCCTCTCTAGGGATGCTTGTATAGATTTTACATAAAGTCTATTAATAAAATTAAAATTATTTATAAAAAAAATGGTAACACTTTGTAATAAAGTAACCAGTTTATGTTTTTGGATGTCTAGCAAGTATGCTTGTTTATTTACTTATTTATGTTTCTTTGAATCACATGCAGCAACATTCCCTCTTGATCTTGTGCGGCGGAGGATGCAGTTGGAAGGGGCAGCTGGTCGAGCCCGTGTATATAAGACAGGCCTATTAGGTACATTCAGGCACATTATCCGAACTGAAGGCCTCCGTGGCCTTTACCGGGGGATCTTACCAGAATATTACAAGGTTGTGCCAAGTGTGGGCATTGTCTTCATGACATATGAGACTATAAAGATGCTCTTGTCAGAGGTTCCTGCCGAAGACTAGAGTTTGTGGCTTTTTAGGTTTCTTTTCAGCAATCATCTTGGCCATCCAATGGAACTGGTCAGGTTTGTTAACGGTAGGTAGGTAAATGAAGAGTTCGTTTTTGGTGCCGCGAGGAAATTCCATGGTGGTAAATTTTGTGATTGCCTCCATAAAACCATATTTTCCCATGTATAGATAGATAAATAGGAAAACAGTTGAATCATATCAAGTGTATCAAGCGTATTTAGTTGTTGACTTCAGTATTCATTGATGATCATTTTCATCACAACAGTTTTGTTGGTCAGTACTCAAAACTTGTATTTTTACTTGTCTAAAATTTTTCTCTTTAATTTCTGAAAAATGGAGCTCAGAGTCTTTGAGAGTGGACAGAACTTATTCTCTCTTCTTATCATTGAGAAAACTTGAGGGTTCAGGACAGTAAATTTTGTAATTAATTGTCGATAGTGCTTAATGAAACAACAGCTAACAATGGGGGCAATTGACATTTCCTTTACTAGAAGAAAATTGATAAAACAACAGCTGAATCTGGGAAAGCGTCAACTTCTCTCAAAATTATTTATTTATTTTTTAGATTTTAACTTCAAGTGGTCTGTTAACCAAAAGAAAAAAATTACTAGATATGATTACATGATTAAAAAACCAGTTTTCTTACAGGTGAACATGCATATGAGATATGAGCTGTTGGTTTAAATTCGGTGTCCAGGAAGCATTGTTACAGGCACAAGACCGCTTGGTTTCTAATTTGGCATCTTCCACAATCTAGCATTTGTGGAATTCATTCTGTATTGGTGGTGTGAGAAAATGATTCAGAAAAGTAAACAACGTTCTGTAAACATTTAGAATTTGGATCAGACCCATACAACGCTCTTCATTTACCAATGTACAGTTTGAGTTGCATTAGATTCCATTTTTCAAGAACATTCTCTCTGAATCATCATTTCTCCAGGTGATTATATTCTTCCTTTGGCTAAAGAAAATACGAGTTTTCCTTTTCTATTATCCAAAATTCTTTTCTTGTGCTACTTGGCATCTGCTTAGCATTCTTCCAAGTTTTGATGTCAATGGCAAAATGGGTATTATTGGGTATTATTGGAGGATGGTAGAATGTCCAGAATCCTCAACTTCTTGTGACAAACGTGGGTGACCCAGTTGTAGGGGCAATAGGATCCCCTGCAAGCAAAAGCTCTGCACACTTTCTGAAAGAATAGGAATTCAGCTACACATTGGGATCATCTCCCCATGTATTTCAGAGTTCTTGCTGCATGAGATCTGGGTTGGTTGAGATGGTCATTTTGCACCTCTCAATTAAAAGCGCATGATCAAGACTCTGGATCTTCTACCCACAAGAACTCTAGGCACACCTACTAAACACTATCCCCATGTATTGGGAATATCTCCCATGCATAATAACATGTAAGAACGTGAAATATTCCTTATGTGGCTGCAATCATATATGCATAGGGGTGGGTAGAAAATCCGGACTCCAAAGATCAGAATTGGGATCTGCAATCATGTATTGGGAATATCTCTTGTTTGTCTTTTCTCCCAGGTTCCCCTTACTTTCCTTTAGCGCCGGTTGTCATCTTCTGTCGTTTGACGTTAGTTTTGGTCGACGGTTGTCCTCTGATGACCTCTCCCCTTCCCTTCTCTGTTACGGCCATGCTAGAAGGCCCAGAACTGAGAACTTTTTCTCTCACTCTCTGTCTTTGTTTTTCTCTGTCTTTTTTCTCTCTCTTGCTCGCTTGCCATCTCCTCTACTGCTCTGCGCCAATCGCCAAGCGGCAACTTCGGTTGCCGGCAAGCACCAAGCCACCAAAGCCAAGCGCCAAATACTCCCTCTTTGGCGACACCTATCATCTCTGCCACCTCACTTCAGGTTCAGGCGACAACAACTAGTCTGACACTAGCAAATCGGCCACCACTTCAGTGTTCATTGTCCAAGTTCGACTTTAGGCCTTCAGCTTGTTTAAGTGTTCTTTTTTTTATTTTTTTTGCATAAATATTATTTAGTGTTTTTTTTTTTTAATTTTTTTGCATAAATATACAAGCCTTCAGGCTTCAGCTTATATTTTCATTTTATCTTTGTTCATTTATAGTGTATTTTTTCATTTTTTTGGATTGTTACTGAATGAGTAAATAAATGTTGATTAAGAGTTTAGTTTGTTGTATTTTCATTTCAGTTTATTTTACGTATTTTTTTTATTTTTTTATTGCATAAATATTAGTGTGTTTGTTCATTTATAGTGTATTTTTTCATTTTTTTTTGGATTGTTACTGAATGAATGTTGATTAATAGTTTAGTTTGTTGCATTTTCATTTCAGCTTGTTTTAGGTATTTTTTTTTGCATAAATATTAGTGTTTCTTCATTTTTAGTGTCTTTTTTTAAATTTTTTGGATTGTTATGATTAATAGTTTAGTTTGTTGTATTTTTATTTCAGCTTGTTTTAGGTATTTAATTTTATTTTTATTTTGACATAAATATTAGTGTGTTCATTTTTAATGTTTTTTTTTTTCATTTTTTTGGATTGTTACTAAATGTAAATTGATTTTTGTTCAATAAAATAAAAGTGAAAAAAGTGTATTAAATTTAAATCAATTTATTTTAATATATAAATTGATTTTGATGGAGAGAATTGGGAAGGTTTTTTTCCTTTTTTTTTAATTTTAAATGAAAGATTATTACACAAAAAACCAAAAAACCGAACTACAGTTAACCGATCAACCAATTGCATCGATTCAATTTCAATTTGAATTATTAAAAAACAAATCAAATCGATTGGTTAAAAAAACACCTCACAACCGAACCGTGAGAACCCGTACTTCAGTGAGTGGTGGTGGGAATCGAGTCCATAAATGCATAGAAAAATGAAGAATCCCGTAAGAAGATAGATACGCAATGCGTCCTTCATTTTATAATAAAAACCCATGTTTAACAAAATAACCAACCTCAAAGGACCCCATAAAAAATGACGGGGGAGCTAATCCTAGCTTACTTGATTAGCTCTATTGTTGACTTGTAAGGGAAAGCAGTACATACCATCTCCAAAGGAAACAAATACCAGACCCTTCCCACAAACATGGGACACAGTAATTGTTGTTAGTTGTTACACAGGAAAAGTTCCTGTCATGTAAATGTGGTTTAGGGTACTACGCAAACCATATCTATTGACAGCTGTATTGGCTGCTCTAAATCCTGCCCCATAGGCTGTCGATGTGTCCTGAGCAATCTGATGCATGAAAAATTCACCTAGCTTTTTCTCGGTATGGGATTTTCCACCTTTTTTGGATGAGAACGATGATGAAGCTGCAGCTGAGGTAGAAGGTATGTTTCTTGACCCAGGCATGACCTCTGACTCGAGCCACATGTAAGAGAGAACCTGACAGATACCTTCCTCGACCACCGGGCTTAGATTACGGTATCCTTCATTAATTTAGAAAACAAAATCAAAGGGCTATGAAAAACCCATGGAAATAGAAAACCAAATACCGCCTCTAGGCACAAAAGGGTAGAGGTATGGTGTAATACCTTTAAGGCGTAACCATCCATGCATTAACTCATGAGCAAGAATTTGACCCGTAAGTAATCTGCCATCCAGTACAGGTATCAAGGTCTAAGAGATTTTGTCAAGGATTACGCTTTCTAAGGAAAAAAAAATAATGCTTGCATCTTATGATGTGAACCATAAGGCCACAGGGATTCATGACATAACTCTGGAGCCTTTTTACTTGCATTTACTACAAAAGAACAGAAGATGCTACTCTTGTGTGCCTTGTCAAATAAGTTAAGCAACTTATATCGCTTCACAATATAGCTTGGAGAAAATAAAATAATAAAACTAAATCAACTTTTAAGAATGTGGTTTTCTGTTGGTGTCTATGACAACCCTTCTTGGCTAACTGGTGTAACGTGAACCAGAGACCAGGCAAGGTATCAGGGTGTGCCAATGCTTTAGGCTTGCGCAAAGCAAAGGGGACCAACTATCAACTGGACTCTTTGGGGAAATAAAAGTAGGTTTCCCATTTCATTTCAAATGCTATAGTTCTACTTTCAAGCTTTCCCTTCTGAAGACACAGAATCGGACTTCCTCCAATTTACTGCTTTTAACAATTATTTCAATTAGCAAATGAATATAAAAATATTATAAAAAAAGATGATGAAGGAAGACTTGAGGAGTTGAAAGGAAAGGAAGATGTATACCACATCTCTGATTATCAATCAGTTATATCTGAAATATGATTTTTCACAACCTACAGTGAGTTGCAGATCTTTGGCTCGAAAATATTTGAACAGTAAGAGGTAATTTCATCTTGTAAATGGAAGGACTAAAAAGATTTTTCTGTTGTTTAGTTCCATAGTATTTTTGAAGCTAAAAACCAAAAGACAAGATATTAGAGATCTGAAAAGAACAATGAAAAAAATTGAAACCCAAAAACCAAAATTCCCTCTACATGGTGAGAGACCTTTTCTATAGATTTTGGTGGAAGTTTCTAGTTAGTCAGGAACATGTATGTATCTTTCATCTTGCCATTAGAACCCATGTCACTGGACACCAATCTTTGAATTGGGAATTGGTTCTTCAAAGAATCAAAAGCATGGGCATCCTGTGCTTGAGTTGTTATAGTAGGTTATCTAGTGAGCTTTCCCTAAAAGAACAAGTAATCTTACATGTGACAAACTAGTTTGGAGCTTGAAAGGAGTCTCAGTTCCTCTGCTCATCCTCTATTTATGGAAAAAAATGGTCCAAAAACCTTGACATGTTGCAAAATAATTGCACTTTTATATGCAAATTTTATATTAAAGAATTAAAACTATAACCGCACAAATTCAGTCCATATATACATGAGAGAGAGGGGCTTTGAAGTTGTATCTCTAATATGGAACATTATATGCTGCTGGAAGGGCTTTGACCAATCAAACCCCCCGGGAATTTTGATAAATACTATCGGATTGGTTATCACTTTTATGATATCGGTTGATTGGTAACAAGTTTTTTCAGTATCATTGTCGAACTCCTCTAGTTTATATTCCCTTTCATAAGGATGCCTAACAGAAAGCAGGTGAAAATGGGTGAAGACATCTGGTATGCCAGTCTTTAGACAAAAATGTTAGTGTTTTTCACTTGGTGTTTGTTCATTTTGGACAAAGAAATGCACTTTCAGGCATGATTTGTTCCAACTTACATCTAGTTGGATTTTGAGTCAACTTCTTTACCAAAAAAAATGTTCCTCTGTTGTTTATCTTCTGGACACACACATCTTGGATTTTTGATCTCTCCCTAGTGTTTACTATCATAAAAAATGCAGTATCTGCATTAAACCTGCTTCTTTTCCATATAATTTCAACAAAATGTAGTTCACCTTGCTGTCCAGCCAATGACTATTGAACATTGACTAAATGAGAACCTATTGCTTGGCTTGATATGAAATGATTATAGAAACTATAGCTGCAATGTCACAGCCAAGATATCCAGGTGAGATTTTCTCTATCTGACCAGCAATTCAAGGTAGCAGAAAGACTAAAATTTTCTGGAGCTGTATCCTATTTGTGGTTTGTTGGGGTATTTGTTAAGAAATAAACAGAACATTTGAAGGAATCCAAATGAGGAAAGGACAATTTGTGTTCAGATATAGGAAATATGATTATAGACTGGATTCTAATACTCCCAAAATTTGCAAATGTAATTTGTAACAACTTCAGATCTGCTTTATGGTCTACATTGGAGATAGCATTAGAATCTCATTTGCAATGAATGGTTTTCTGTATGTGTTCTGGTTATGTAAGATTTGGGATTGGGTGCTACCTCATCACCCCTTCCACCTATTGTAATTCTGCAGTCTTTATTTTTAATAAAATTTCTTCTCTTGTACTATAAAAAGTGTCACAGACATCTAAACCAGAATACAGACAAGGAGAGACTAGTACTGGCTAGACAAATTCACTCATTTTAATATAGCTAAAACTAACCATTTTCTTTTGCCTACTATTGAAGTCTGATATGCAGAATTCAGCTACGTTTTCCATACTATTTTGGATGAATGTGGGAATAGAAATAAGAATGTCTTCTGATACATCTTAAGTTCCATTTAGCTGCAAAATGATCCAGGTGTGAAAACACCTGTCAACCCCAAATTCATAGCTGAACAGAAGATAGTCATGTGCCAAAAGGTGTTAATACTGGCCTCACATGGATTTTAAATCGTAACTACCTCAACATTACCAGACAAGTGGAAAGTTACATGGAACAACAGCACTAATCATGTTTAACATGTAAAACCTTGTCCACATAAACTTAGTGATGGAAACAAACAGATGTGTAACTAAAGAGACCACTCAAAATAGTAGTACCAAGACAACTTAGTCTATGTTTTATTGAGCCGCTAATGTTTGCCTGAGCATATCCACTTTGGATCAGTAATTACGCCAAACTATAGCTGTAAAGTGGTGGTCACTGTAGCAATTGGGCTGTGCCAGGTCAGCCCATAACCCCCACAGTTGTCAAGACGATGCCTAGGCAATAAGGCGCCCTCACCTAATCACCAAGCAGTTTGGTATACTGTGTTATAAAATACTTTTATATTCTTAATTTTTTGAAACTATAATTATAAAATAGACACTATTAAACTAAAATGATCATTCTGTGTATTTATATACTAATTTCTTTTTATTATTTTCTTATTTGTTAGGGTTTAATCAACATAGACATTGCTAACTGCAGTATTGAACCCTCAAAGACTTCATAACCTGAACCAATAAGTAAGGAAGAACTTAAAATTTTGTTTAATCAACACAGTTTCATCTTTTCCTATAACAAAAATAGGGCTTCAGCACCCTATTTTTTTAATTTCTTTTCTTTCTTCTTTTTCTTCTCATGAATATATTGATTTTCTAGGCTTTAACATGAAGTTTATACTTTTCTTATGAAAATTATGGATAATTATCAAGGAAGTTAGGAAATATGGTTATGGAACCTAGGGAACTACCCTAGGATATATATTTTTTACTTGAAAATATCCACCACCTAGGCACCCACCTAGGTGACTAGGTGACAAGGCGCCCTCCTATCTCGCCTAGCCTCGTTTTGGTGCCTTGAAAACTATGATAGCCCCATGCCGTGCTGGGCTTGGGTTTGGAGGTCCATGGGCTGGCACAACACAGCATGAAAAAGTGGGCAATGGCCTAGCATGGCGCGAAGTTGGCATGCAATGGGCTGCACTAGCTAAGGGTGGAAAGTGAAAGACCAGCGAAGTCTGGAATATGTTTAATGTAGAAACTATTAAGGGAAAGGGAAAAATAATTGTTTGCATAAAATGTAGGAGTGGTTTTAGTTACAGTAGCAAAGGTGATAATGGCCATTTGGCTAGACATATGGCCAGTTATTTGAGAAAAAAAAAGTAATGAAAATCAATCACAAATTGGGTGTGAGCTTTTTGGTAAATTTGAAAATTCACAAGAAAAATTGAGGCAAGAACTAGTAGCATATATTGTACATGTTGAACAACCATTTCTATTACTCTATTAGTTGAAGATGACTTGAAAGTTTTTTACAACAATCTGTAAATCCCCAATTTAAAAGTTTCTAGAAATACTATTAGAGCATATGCTTTAAAATTTTTTATTCATATAAACAAAATTTAATTTCTACTTTATCAAGTCTTAATTCTAAAATTTCACTTGCATCTGATATTTGAACTTCCAAATATAATATTAGCTATATGTGTCACGAGGAATTTTATTGATGAATCATGGTCTTTACAAAAAAGAATTTTAAGTTTTGTAAGATTTCAATGGCTACATATTGGCCTAACAATTGCTACAAGTATTTTAAATACTTTACATATTGTATTGAAAATGAAGTTTTTTCTATTAGTTTTGATAATTCTAGTAATAATGATTCAGTTGTACATTTTTTAAAATCTCAATTAAAACCATTTTTCAATGAAAACTTATTTCGTATTAGATTTGCGTGTCACATTTTAAATGTGTACAAGAAGCCATAGTTGTCAAGGCGACGCCTTGGCAGGCGCCTAGGCGACAAGGCGCCCTTGGAAGCTCGCCTCGCCTAATCGCCAAGCAGTTTTCTACAGCGTGTTATAAAAAACTTTTTATATTCTTAATTTTTTGAGGTTTTAATTATAAAACAGACATTTTAAACTAAAATATTCATTTTGTGTGTTTATATACTAATTTCTTTTTATTATTTTCTTATTTGTTAGGGTTTAATCAACACAAACATTGCTAAATGCCATATTGAACCCTCAAAGACTTCAAAACCTAAACCAATAAGTAAGGAAGAACTTAAAATATTGTCCAATCAACACATTTTCTTCTTTTTCTTTACTAATTTTGTGTGTTCATATACTAATTTCTTCTTCTTCTTCTTCCACCTTTTCTTTTCTTCCTTTCCTATAAAAGAAATAGGGGTTCAGGCCCTATATTTTTTTAATTTTCTTTTCTTCTTTTCTTCTCATGAATATGTTGGAATATGTTGATTTTCTATACTTTAACATGAAGTATATACTTTTCTTATGAAAATTATGGATATTTGTTAAGGAAATATGATTATGGAACCTAGGGAACTACCCTAGGATACATGTTTTTACTTAAAAAAATCCATCGCCTAGGCGACAAGGCACCCCTGTTGCCTAACCTCGCCTTGGCACCTCGAAAACTATGCAAGAAGCTTTAAAATTATTTCACCTCATATTTCTAAAATTAGAAATTGTATTATGTATATTAGAACTTCTAGAATGGAAACAATAATTTAAATATTTATGTCAAAAATATGGGATAAAATATAAAAGAATTTGTACTAGATGTTCAACATAGATGGAATTCTACATATACCATGTTAGACAGTTGTATTTCATATAAAGGCAATCTTATTAATTTTTATAATGAGAAAATGCCCTATGATTTTATAACTAATGATGATTGGAAAGTTACAACTTGTATAAAAGATTTTTTACAACTTTTTTATGATACAACTAATGTATTTTCAGGTATTTATTACTCAACATCTTGTGTTTTAGTTAATTAATTGTTTATAATTAGTGAATGTTTTGTAAAATATATAAATGATTTAAAATTTAAAAATATTGTTGATGTAGTGAAAATTAAATTTAAAAAATATTTTCCTTTATATTGCTTAGTTGCAATATTAGATCTGAGGATTAAAACCAATGGTGTAAATGTTTAACTTGAATCTTGTTATGAAAATATGGGAGTTGATATTAGAATAAAAGAAGATGAAGTTAAATTTATTATTTGAAATGTATAGTATATATGAAATTATGAATCACAAGCATTAGGTCATAGGTGAACTTGTATAGCCTCCACTACTGGTTCCAATAGTGGAATAGATAAAGTTTGGCCCTTAATAAATAAAAGGCAACGATTAGTTGCCACTTCATGAACCAAGTTCATGTACTAAATTTCATTTTTATTACTAATTTATGAGATTTCCTCACATCTGAGGAATTACATAATTTTGATATTTTATCCTGGTGGAAAGAATATGGAAAAAATTATCCAGTGCTTACCACCATGGCATGTGACCTACTAACTCTTTTAGTATCCACAGTTCCATAGGAGTCTTGTTTTAGTGCAGGTATTAGGGTATTGGACGGTAAGAGAAACTATATAACAAAAGTCTAGAGATGCATATGTTTGAAGGGTTGACTGGATGCGAAAAATAGAATGCAAGATCAAGGAGGACATGACACCTCAATTGATGGTTCACCAAATGCAAATGATGTAGATCAAGATCAAGGATATGGAGGAGGTGGAAAATATTGAAGTCAATGTTTTTTTGTATATTCAAAAATTGTACAATATTTTTAAAATTATTGTAAATTTTGTTTTCAATTTTATTTAAAAGTTATTTGTGATGTTTTTCATTGCCATTGTAAATTTTTATTTTCAATTTTATTATACTATTTTATTCCAATTCCCTTGTATTTTTTTCAATTTAAATTTATTACTTCATGCATGATCAATTATATGCATTAATTTCAAATAAAATAAAATTTTTGGACTTTTTTCATTTTGTTGTCTATTTTGTATTTTGTTAAGTATTTTTTTATTGATTTTTTTTTTCAAAATAATTGTCATTTTTACTTAGCAAAAAAAGTGGAAAATACTTAGCAAAAAAAAAAAAAAACGGATCAAGCCTATGGCCAGCCCAACCTAGGCTCGTGGCACAGCCTTGCTTGACCTGGCACGGGCCCATTTGGGGTCATGCTGCTAGATGTGCCAAGCTTTAACTTTGAGGGGTTCTAGGCCAAGCAGGCACAACCTGCCTTGGCCTGTGTGCCGACATGGAACAGCCCACATTACACCTCTACCCCAAGCCAATGTGATCTAACATGTCACTCTAAAGTCTAAATCATTGTCTAGGGCCTTAAGACCAAGCACCAAAACTAGGATCTCTGAGATTGAACCATGTTGGACAGTCGCATCATTTTGTTTGAAGCCAGACAGTTGCATCATTTGACTCCTTGTTGAAACATTTTCATGCATTGGGTTTTCATTAAGTTTTTTTTTATTAACTTCTATTTTTCCAATGTTTTTAGCATCAAAGTATTCGTGCTTGATAACATTGTTTTCTTAATTTTAAATTTCCATATGTTGTGCATTATTCTTTCCCTTAATGTTTTTTGGTATTCTTAAATAATTTTCTTATAAATCCATAGTCCAATTAAGCAGTTAAGCCATTGACCTAATACGTGATAACAAATGGTCCAGTTTTCAAAACTAGCCTAATTTATTTCCATACATAAGAATTAGTCACTGGAAGATCATCATATCTCAAATCACAAAATACATCTTCTGTTGCCTATGTTAATCCATATTATATATGGATACTAAATTTAAAGAAGAAACTGCACTCTGAACCATAAACATAATAATTAAAAGGGTCAAACAGTTAAAAATAGTTTTTAAACTACTACCTTGGGAGGCCATACAGAACAAGAATGGCTGTGACCTCACATTTCCGATCCAGCTTCTGTTGTTTTGTTTTCATACCTATGAGGCGGTTACCCCCAATTCTTGGCCTTTTGGATATCTGCATATGTTAAAAGGCAAAAACAGAAAGAAAGTACATAATAAATATTTGCTAATTTATTCAATGAAGAAGAAATTGCATTTCTTCATATCATAAATGTCAGTTCATACACTGCTAATATTCTGCTCCTCAGAAAGGCATAAGCCCCTTGTCTCAGGCATGTGATGGTGTCCCTGGAACAAGAACCTGCTTTGAGTAAAGAGGGAATTTCTAGAAATAAAGTATGTTAACAATGGGAAAAAGGTCATTAATTACATTCTTCTCTCCTTCAATAGCCTCATTTAGTGCTTGTCTCTCCACCAACAGCATGGGAATCTGTTGCTCTATTTTCATGTTCATTCCTTCGTAGTAGTCTCTGATGGAATGGTAAAGGGGTTGGCAGTCACCAGTATCCATAATGGATGTCTCCATACATTCTAAACACAAACTCCGTCCATCCCCCAAAAAAATGTATCTTGCATTCCATGACTTCATCAAAAGAAGAACAAAACAGAAAAATTACAGAAAACCCATTCTGTTTTTAAATCATAACATTTTTGTGAAATCTACTGAGGAGAAAAACAATTGAACCATCGGAATTACTTGGTTGGCATTTAGAAGCCAAGTTCAAATCATTTCATCTTAGTTTACTCTAGATTGCAGACCAACAAGTTCATCACCCAAAATTGATCTGTATCCAGTCCACCCCTCACAATGGGTAATGGCCTGTTTAGTTTATACCTTTATAATTTAGGAAAAAAAATTAAAGGACTTCATATGATGTGTTTCTTAGATGCCCCATTAATGAATATCACAGAAAGTCATCATACCTCCAACCGTTCACAACTACAACAACGAGCCGTATTGTCATACTCATGCAAAGGACAATATTTTTGGCACCAAAATGGATGAGATTTATATTCAATTAAGCCAGCGCCATTTGTTGGAATCTGGAAACGGAATAAATTATAAGAATTTTTATTTCAAGGTAAGATAACTTGAAAAATCAGTTACCCTAACAGCAAAACAGATTCCACAGTATATGCTGAGTATAGCCAGAGATACTGCATAGTGCATACTACAGTATGAATGATATGAAACTATATTAAAATGGAAAGCAATATGTGCTAGGCAGCCTAGGCTTGGAGCTGGAACACGAAGCAGAATTGATCATCTTCTATCCTCTAAAGTCAATATAGTAAAGTCATAAATAGGCTTTAAATGCCAACACAAATATAAATATACTTAAATTCTTCACCAAATGCACAAAGCACAATTTGTTACCTTTTGTTTATGACATGCATTGCATAAATTACCTGTTTGTGTGTGTATGTAATTACCTCATACAAAAAGCAGAAGAGGCAAGTAATTACCTCCTCATTTCTCAAGGACAATTTGCCTTTTTAATTAGTAGCATAAATATTTATTCTACTAAACATTTTTGCCCTTAGAGAAAACGGTTCATTATGCACTATCTAATTTATTAGTATAATAATTAATTATTCTCATAAGTTTCTGTTGCATGTGCTAGCCTCTTGTGTGTGTATATGTATATAATTATTATTTACAAGTATAATAATTAATTGTATGTGTTTAGTTGGATTACAATAGGGGAATCATAATTGCTAGCCGGTTGTTAAGTATATTGTAGTCAAATTTGGAAAAATATCTACATTAATTACAGTACTTCTCAGTGGTTTAAAAGGTGCGCCTAGGCACACAAGCAAGGCACACTTCAAGGCTTGCACCTCACCTAGGCCTAAGCACAGCCCCTTTGAAATAGTGGGCACCTGGTGTGCCTTACGTCTCAGCTCAATTGTGTGACTCAGTTAAATATAGTGTTTTTTTTGGGGTGCCTTTTTAAGCATCCTCCAAGAACCCCCTTTTTGTTAATGATGTTTATATTCATTCTTCTTAATACAAAACATTTCTTTTAAAAGATAAGGAACTATAATTAAAATTATGAAATCATTTTTGTGTGGACTAAGAATTAAGACCCTAGCATGTACTTGTTTGGGCTTTTGCCTCAAGGGGCTTGGTACAAAGGATGGCTCATAGAATTAGGAACAAAAGATGTTTTGTTTTATTCTTTTGAAGTGATGTGATTATAAAAGAAATAAAAAGATTGAAAGTTTGACATGCTTGAATGTGGTTTAGATGTTATGTTTTATTTTATTTTTTGTATTTTCACTTTGAATATGTCTTACATGTTATGTTTATGTATTTTAATTTGGGCTAATAAGCTTTTTAAAACATTTAGTTTAAAATTAAAGTTTGCATTTTTAACTAATACTATTTCTAAGTTTTTTTTATTTATTTTGCATTATTTGCAAATTTTAAAAAGAAAATCTGTGCCTTACTTCATAAGGTGCACACCTCACCTTGTCCCTTATGCCTCGGATGCAAAAAGCCCTTTGCACTTTTAAAACATTGATACTTGTATCTAAGTATCTTATTGGCATAAGATAAAGGACTGAAGGAGTATTTATTTATTTTTCTTTTCATAATTAAAGATTATTGTATTATGTATTAAGTGAAAAATGGAAAAAAGCCTCATACAAGGAGTTTACATTTTTAATGAGAAAAGATGGTTAAATGGAGAAAGGAAAAAAGGATTTTCTATGTACCAGAGAGAGAGAGAGAGAGAGGTTGAAATGGGTTTCCTTTTCTGGATTGTGGTGTACAAACTTTTGTATCATGATCCACATTTTGTTTTTGGTCAATGAGATAATATTTTAGTATCATGATCCACATTCCCTTTCTGGAATTACTTGATCTGTAATTCAAACATAGAAAGGGAATGGTTGAATAGATTTGGACACTAAAATTTACATAATTCACATAAGTCAAGTTATTCTTACATTAACTGAATGATTTTAGTCCTCTATTATCATTATAAATACAGTTTCATTTACTACAAACTGTCTCTAAGATGGGAGAACTAAACTGAAAGCAAAACAGTTATAGGAGGACTTGTATATTCTAATTTATCAATGTTGGGTTTAGGGGTTGAAATTTATTCATTTTCCTTCAATAAAGTAAAAACAAGCAATGAAGTTAAAATATACTGAAACTTTGCTTACAAATTGAAGGCAAACTTCACACTTGGGATGATGCAATTCTTTGAAACAAGACTTGTGGTATGGATTTTTCCCTGACAAAGAAAACTTGATTTGACAAATAAAAATGTAAGAACAAGGTATAATAAACATTTGACATTTTATTTTATACTGTAGTTTAACTGATTTAACAGAAAAAAGAGGTAGGGCTTCTAGAATTCAAAGCCTCCTGTAATGAGTCAAGATTACTTAGATGGAAAGAGTGCTGAAACTCCAACAAAGAATAATGTACCTCATTCTCAGTGATTGGGTAACCGCAAGAATGACAGCAGAAGCACTCTGGGTGCCAAAAAGCTTGCATGCATCCTAAGTATTTGCCATAGCCTATTTCACGATTGCAGCCACTACAGTATCTGAGAGGAACATGCGTATATGTACTGCCATAACCAATCAAGACAAATGTCAGGAAATTTACGTCTGGGAAATCCCATAAGTTGTTTATAAGATTGTGAGCTGTGACATAGTTGAATCAAGTCTATTACTTGATAAGCCATGCACTTTGTTGACTATTCATCTCCAAGGTTTTCAGCTGGAATCTGTGTCGGAGTTGCTCAATGCTTGGAGGGTAAATGGCAAGAACAGGAGAGGCAAGATTTGTTGGTCTGCATTCCTCTGGCTGTAATTTGGGCTGTTGGATTAGAGAGAAACGGCAGGGTGTTTCAATCAAAGGGTCGTCCTGTTGAATATGTTATTAACTCCTCTTTTGGTTTTAATAGGACTTGGCCACAGTGTAATAGTCTTTTTGTTGGCAATTCCAGCCACATGATTTTGGTAGTTTTTTTTTTCTTTTTTTTTTTTTTTGGGGGGGGGAATAAGTTTATCACAAAGTTACTAATTTTGTTATTGGTCCTACCCAAGGCCCCTGGCATTTTGACTTAGTTTGCCATCCAGAACTCCAGAAGCAGTAATTAATTCGAACCATGAGTTCGACTCCAACTTTTTGAAGTACAGTGAGAGCGTGAGGGACCAAAACAAAGAAAGATTTAACAAAACTGACCTATATCCTCCAGGCGAAAATTGTGGAGGAGCATATGGAGGATATGAAGGCATGTTCAAGCTATCTTGGAGTGCTCTAGCTAGGTCTTCATCATTGTTTGTGTGTCTTCTGTATCCTGAAGAAATCTCAAATATTCAGTATAATATTATAAACCAAAGAAAAAGAGAGAAGGAGAAGTATTATGAGCTATTATACATATCCTTACACACTTTTTTCTCAGGGGTGGGAGCGTTTGTGAAGGTCAAACAAATCTCAAAGCCAGCAACTGTGGTTTAAATTTTCACCATACTAAACTTACCATTAGGCCTTTTCAAGTCATCAGCGAGAGAAAGCGCAGCTGCACGGTCCAACTCCTCATGCTCAGATCTGGAATGGTCATCCTGATAAGCTTATACAAAAACAAGTCATGCAGCTTTTTGACAGAAAATTGTTTGAAGGGGACTGATCCCAAGAAAAACAGAGAGAGCAACAAAGCCATTTAGAACAGTGACGGACTATTTACACAAGAAAAGTTAGATCTACTTGTACACAAATGGCATCAATCTATCATTTTTTCCCCATACCACTTAGATTTCAATACTGAATTCAAGTTCTTTTCATTCTAACAAAGAAAGGGAAAAGTTAAAAAAAAAAATACTGTAAAGATGAAACTAAAATTCTTGAGTACCTAAAGCATAAAGGGTTTACTGAACTTTTTCTATTTATCTCCATAAACGTTGTATATAACTATTCTTAATGAATTCCCGCCTTCATTACTGTCCCATTATCTCCATCATTATAACAATGAAGTTAAAACGAAATGGGTAAAAGAACAATTAAAATTTAAAAATCATGTGAAAAAAATAAAAAAAAAACATGTGAAATTACCATGGATCTAACCGGAGTATGAAAAGCCACATTATCCTCACCAAGGAACTGCGGAGAACGTCTATTCATTACCCCTTGATTTGAGCCCAACTTAAGTATCTTAGTAATCCACCTCATAAAGCCAAACTTTCTCTCAGCAGAAATGTGCCCTGCTTTTGTAATCAAATTTCAGAAAAAAAAAAAAACACAAAAGAAAAGAAAAGTGAGAGAAACCTGATCCTTCACTACTCTTCTAATAGCAAATGCTTATTAATATCAAACCAACATTAATTATTTCCAACCACAACTAACTTGGCCAAACATGAAGTGTAAAAATTCCAAAATGTAGCAACTGCAATCCAAAGAATTTATTGGAACAAAAATTGGTTGAATATCACCATCCATCAATAATCATCGTTGGCATTATTACCATTGTGACATCTAACAACAATAATAGTAGTGAATTTACAGGAAACAGTACCGCTAATGCATTTTACCAAAAATGTTGAAGGTGAAAATAGAATCAAATAGAGTAAAGATCTTAAAACAAGCATAAAAATAGTACTAAAAAGTAATAACAAAGGGAAGAAAAATAGGAAGCACACCATGGATGCAGGGATGAGAGACATGGTTGATTTCTGAAGAAGCCATGAACAACAAAACCCAATTGTAGATTTAGTTGAACCTCCGTGGAACGAAAAGAAGTAAGAAGAAGAAGAAGAAGAAGAATGGTGAAAATATTGGAATAGAGAGAAAAAGGAAGAACAAGGCATCATAAAAAGAGATATAGAAAGAGAAAGAGATAGGAGAAGGGAATATCTGTTGAAGAAAGAAAGATGGATAGAGTGAGATAGATTCTTGCTTCGAAGGCAATGACGAAGAAAGTTGATCGATCGACAAAAAGATAAATTTTAAGGGAATCTGCTGATTGGGATTTGGGAAGACACTGGGTAAAAAAAACCGAAAAGAAAATAAGCCGAAAAGGATAGAGGAGGTGGACGGTTGAGACACAACTGAGAAGAGAAAGAAGCTGCGGGACAGCGGGAAGCGCACGCATGGTGAAGGGAATTCTTTTTACGTTCCCTTTTAACTATTTTAATTAAAAAAAAAAAAATGATTTTGAGGCTTCTTTTGCCGGGAGCGGGAGGCAGGGAACTTGAGTTATTTACCTTATTGCCATTTAACAGTTTGGTAAATCGTGTAATCGTGATTGACTGATTGTAGTGTCCTGCGTCAATCGTGTAAAAGGTCAACTCTGGTGTGGAATGCGAGTGTGGGTATACTCCTCATATAGGCATGTGAGGGAGATGTTCCCAACATACGGTGGGATGGTGCTTGTTCCTAACAAAATGTTTCAACATAATGCATGTTCACACATCATGATGGGTCCCATTTTTATCATAGAATCCAGGTTTGCCCTTCACAGAACACTCATCACACCAACCTCGCAGCATCTGCTCCTGACAGCTGGAAATGTTGTGAGATCAGAGCTTAGTCTCATGGTGAGATGTGTATATAGAAATCATATCGAAAATGCATTGGGACAGATTTTGTTGGGAGCGTATCCCAACTATAATCCAAAACCCAATATCTCTGCTTCATGTGAGGTCCACTAACTTCTTCATGGGTCTGAACTTGTGGAGAAACTTCAAATTGAACTTTTTGAGATGTACAAATTTTCTGCTTCTAGGTGTATTATAAAAAAATTTTGCCATGTCTCAATTCTCTGTCATGTCTTCCCCTATCCCACTTGTTCTTCTACCTTTTTCCTATTTTTTTCTTTCAAACCAAACATAGCCTAAAAGAAAAATTTCCGACTCTGCCATTGATCCCTACTAGGTCACTGATAGAATAGTATGCTTATACAAGAAAAATCCTATCCTTTAAACTTAGCTATACGTACAATATCTAATCAAACAAGAAGAAATAGAAAGAAAGAAAAAACAAAAATAATAAAAAAGCTTAGATACATAATATGTTTTACATTTATACAAGCAGACATGAATATATTGGGTGGGGAAGCTTCAACTCTAGGTCCATCTGAAATGACACAAATGTACGTTATGATTGGTGTGAGTGCATCATAAAGGGAACATTGCATTGTGTTGTGCTGTGGTGTATGATGATTAAAAGGAGCGCAGTACACTTAACTATAATTTTTCCGATGTTCATTTATTTTCTTTGGCCATTGGGCTCTTATATATATATATATATATTTAAATTTCATATTACTCTTTTGAGGAAGTTGCGGTTTCTTCTTTTAATTTTTTTTTTTCAGTTTTTTGTAGGAAACTATAGTATTTCAGAAGTCGTTTTTAGCCTTTTATTTATAAAGTGGTGCAGGAATAGAGATGCCCATGTAAAGGATCATTTGACTAAAGTACATTGATATTGGATATAAATAAATTAAAAATTATGTTAAAGATATCCATATCCTGATGCAATGGATTTGTAATTCTCTCGGAATAAAAGATTTGTTTCAGAGGTGTGTATAATTAAGAAATTATGGATGAAGGATATAAAGGTTCAAACAAGGCAAGGATTCTCTAACAGGACGCTATATAAAGGAAATTAGAAAGAATGTAACTTAGCTTGGTAAGTGTACTGGTAAGCAAAAAACAATAACTTCAATGCACAGAAGGCTGCAGATTTAATAAGAAGAATATACGGCCTTTATTTTTTATTCTCATTTCATAAATATTAAAAAAAAAAGAATATTACACCTTTCACCAGACTCTACTCAATGTGTGTGGTTTTGGTACATTTGAAATTTGATTCGGCCTTGGCCCCATAGGGGCGGTGTGGGTCCATTGGCATTCAGCACACGAAGACATTGTACTTCGACCATGTGAAGGCGCACTTTGTCCAAGAGAATATTGGTAGTGCTTATTCAAGTGAACATGGGAATAAAAAGATTTGGTTGAGATGTTTATATAATTAAAAGCTAATGAATGAAATAATTGATGATGGAAATTAAATAAAAATTTAAAGTTAACAAAAAATGAAATTGTTTTTTTTTTCAATTTGGCGGTGGATTAACATTTAATTTTTAAGTTAAGTAATATGTTTGGCATTGATACTGCAGATACAACATCATTTTCTGCTGATGTATGGGTTAGAAGTATCGTTTTCTGAGAAAATGGTGTTTTTTTTTTTTTGGAAACTTTGCAGCTAGTTAGGACGTTTCTTAGAGCAACAACAACACTTTTTATTTGGTATCAGTGCTCCATATTTGTTTTCAGTACTGGTACCCATTATAGGAATTGCATGTCACTGCCATATCATGTCCTCGTTGGCAGCAACGGGCTCCAATATGAGAAAATGTTGAATTCGACGTTGCTCCAAACCATGCCTTCTCGATTTTCAAGGCATGACTTAGAACACCGTCTTTTATGGAAAAACAGTTCCAAACATATTGACATTTCCTAAAGCACCATTTTTTCCAACGTGGCACTGATTTATCACCGTTTTCTGGAGCAATGGCATGGATGCCAAACAGATGGTAAATGTGTCAACCTTTTATATTATAATTAATAATATAAATAAAAAGATAAAAACATAAATAAAATATAAAAAATACAGAAAATATTTATAGTGCATCTTTAAATTGTATATTCATTATATTAAAAAATCCGACTCAAATTGCAGGCACTTATTAAAGAAAAACCAAAGTGACCCTGATTTCGAAAATCTATGAAACTACATACAAGGTGTCCAAGATGAGCAATATGGGGGATTTTGATATTTAAGTCCGATTTATGATTTTTTATCTGCTCCTAAAAAGCCTACGTTCTTAACAACTTTATTTCGACCTTCTGTTTATTGCGAACCAAATACAATCCAAAGAACCATGAATATGCTCTTTCAAGTTCTCACCATTTTAATGGAGGGGATGGTAACATATAAAAGCACAGGTTGGGCTTAAAGCATTGGGCCTGGGCACAAAATAAACATATTCACAAAGCTTGGAAATGTTAAGGCTGGGCTAGGCCGAACTACAAATGGTCAACCCCCCCCCCCCCNCCCCGAAAAAAGTGAGACCTAAACTTGTTTTTTGTTTCAACAAGTTGAATTTGTCATGGAACCATAAAAATTTTTATATTGTATAACTTATGAAACATAATGTTGGATAATCAGATGAAAATATGTTTGTAAAACAAAAATTAAAGAACATGATTCAGTTTTGAAAATAAAAAGTAATATACAATCAAGAACATGTTTTTTGTATTTTTGTTTTGAAAAACAATTTATTTTCAGATCAGATGGTTTTGATTTATTCTTGAAATCAGAAACAAGAAAACCAAGTCATGTTGTAGAATACCCCCCAAGTCTCTTCTTCACGGCTAAATTTTATTCATCACTTTGATGTGGACACACTCCTTACATGGGATCATTTCATTGGTTCATATGATGAAATATTTGAATTTGGATTAGCTGAATGCTTTGGCTGTAGAATCAATGATCAAGTTCCATGCCAGGATATAAAATTCATGGGCCCACTGTGAAAGGTGCAGGCCCATGTATTTTATTACTGCTGCAGAACTTTATCATTGATTCTACAGCCCGCTAAACAGCCAAAACGTTTAACTAAACCTTACTTGAAATATTCACGTAGACCTACTTGAAGTGGCTTCATTTTGTAAGTAAATAGGTTCATACAATGAAATTTGGAAGCTATGGTCAGTTGCCAAACTGAAATGCGAGCAGAGATATGGGTTTTTTATAGTGTTTCAAAGTTCAAACTGTCATTGACCTAAGTGGTTGGACCCTTTGAACTAACATCTGGCGTCAATTGTGGTCCAGGTTAACCCTGAACCTAGCAATTGGTCAAACTCGTTGATTTGGTTCAAAAGCTATATGAAAACTTCAGGAGGCCATAATTTTGAGCTTAGTGATAATGTTCTCCTTTTTTATTATTTTTTTATTGTGGGCAATTTTTTACGGTTGTGAAGGTGCCTTAGACCCCCTTTTTTCCAAAAAAAAAAGCCTCAAATCAAAATATTTAGTATAAATAATTAAATCTAAAGTAAAAAGTATTTGTTGGCCATTGTAGACATTTGACCCTTCATTAAAGTTGTATTTGGTAAGATTACCACTTGCAACATTTTACGTTGATCAATACGAGTTTTTGAGAAATTGTCTTATCATATCACATCAGATAAAAAAAACATAAGCATCAAATTTGGTGTTGGCATTTATAATAGAAACACCAAATTTGATGTCTCTTCAAGAAACAACAATGATATCAAATGTTGTTTGGATAAGTCAAAGCATTCGTGATATAAAATATATAATATGTGTGTGTGTTCTCATAAAACCTTATATTTTGGTTGCAATGTAAATATGTAGAGTGCAAAACCTTATATTTTGTATTATTTTATATGTAAATGCTGTACATATTTGCATTTGTTCTCTTTCCAAACTGAGCTTAAGGCTGTGTTTGGTTGTAATGCAAATAAGTTTGTACTAATGCAAAATCATGACAGTGCAAATGATTTGAGTGTAAATTCTGACCTATTTTTATTTCAAAATTTAGCTTATTTTGTTTGATTGCAGTATAAATAAAATAAATTAAAACATAAAATAGAATAAAATAAAATCCAAACAAAATTAAACAAGAATTTGCATTTTTTATATTTGCACCTCCATACATTTGTACTTGTGTAAATAAATTTGCACTACAACCAAATATCAGACAACATGATAATTGGGTGATGCCTTCAGTGATTTTTTTCTTGAATGAAATGATGAGGAATTATGAGGATAGTATGGGGTATGCCTCTAATCAGACTTTATCAATATAAATGTGGAATGTGATCGAATTATAATTCAGTATGGGGTATACCTTTATGAAGGATGTTGCTTTATATGGCTCATATGGTTTTTGTATCTATAGTAACAATAATGAATTTTTGGTGGCTTCAGGTGGTTTATTGGGAATTGTCGATGGGAAATTGTGTGCAGAATTGATAGCTCTGGTTTTTGTTCTAGGTAAAGGTTGAAGGAATTGTTCTGAATTTTCTTAGGCTAAAATGGCAATACAGTAA